TAGTTTGCACAATGCTTTGATTGGTGATACTGACTTCATACCCACTGTTTGTCACTCTTCTGTTCATAAACACAGAAATTCTTTTGATATTTGGCATGCTCGCTTTGGCCATCCTTCCTTTGAGAGATTATATGTTTTGCGTGATTCCTTGCATTTTGATTCTGCTGGATATAAAGATCATATTTGCCCTGTATGTCCTCTCGCTAAACAAAAGTGATTGTCATTTACTTCTCATAATAACATGGCAACTCATGCTTTTGATGTAGTACATGCTGATGTTTAGGGTCCGTTTGCTCATATTTCTTATCATAGCTACAGATATTTCCTCACTATTGTTGATGACTGCACTCCGTTCACTTGGGTTTTTATGCTACGACAAAAATCTGATGTTCAAAATATTATGCCTCACTTTCTTGCATATGTTGAAACTCAGTTTGGCACTTGTGTTAAGATTTTTCGATTAGATAATGCACCTGAACTGCTCTTTACTGACTTGTTTCTGTCCAAAGGGATTATCCATCAATTTTCTTGCGTTACCCATCCTGAGCAAAACTCTGTGGTTGAGAGAAAGCACCAACATATTCTCAATGTTGCACGTGCACTTTTCTTTCAATCTCGAGTTCCTATTACTTTCTGGGCTGATTGTATATTAACAGCAGTTTATTTGATTAACCGAACTCCATCTCCCAGCCTTGAGTGCATTACTCCTTTCCAATCCTTATATGGGGTTGTTCCAGATTATGCCTTTTTAGGAGTATTTGGCTCTCTCTGTTATGCATCCACTTTACCAAGTCATCGTACCAAATTTGAGTCTCGTGCCTCTACTACTGCTTTTATTAGTTACCCTATTGGAATGAAAGGTCATAGGTTATATGACCTTCAATCTAAGAGAATTTTTGTCTCCAGAGATGTCGTCTTCCATGAAACCACTTTCCCATTTCATGATATTTCTGATGCATCTCCCTCAGATCCATTCCCGGATCTTGTTCTTCTTAAATCATTTGATATTTCTTCTACTACATCATTGCCTTAGATCAGCATTAATCCTATTGATCATACATTACCAATAAATGGACATTTGCCCACTGATGATAGTGATCTACCCAATGATGGTATTTTGCCCACTGATTCTAGTTTGCCTACTACAGATGCTTTGCCCGCTGATGGTCATTTGCCCACTAATGATACCACTGATGCTTCTCTAGCTGATCTTGTTGATGTTACGGCTAGTTCTTCTGCATCTGATGGTACTTTACTCTTAGGCGTTCTACTCAGTCAGTTAGACAACCATCTTATTTGCAAGACTATCACTGTGCTCTTTTAGATGGTTCTCCCATTCCTTGCCCTTTAACTAAGCATCCTTTACAACAATGTCTGTCTTATGATCGTCTGGCTTCATCTCACAATTCTTTCACTGTTGGTTTATCTACCAACGTCGAACCACAATTTTATCACCATATTGTTGTACACAAGCATTGGCGGGATGCTATGGCTGCTGAATTAGATGCCATTGAGGCTAATCATACATAGGCAGTGGTTCCTCTTCCTTTTGGGCATCATAGTATTGGATGCAAATAGGTATACCGAATTAAATATAAATCTGATGGTTCAATTGAATGCTATAAAGCTCGATTAGTGGCCAAGGGCTACACTCAACAAGAAGGATTTGATTACATTGAGACGTTCTCTCCAGTTGCCAAATTAGTCACAGTCAAAGTTCTTCTTACTTTGGCTGTCTTTAAACAATGGCCTCTGTTTCAACTCGATGTTAACAATGCCTTCCTCCACGGAGATCTCTTTGAAGAGGTTTATATGGATCTTTCTTTGGGTTATAAGCCTCCACCTTTGGTTGCACGACAGGGGGAGCGTCTTGTATATCGTCTCCAGAAATCTATCTATGGGCTGAAACAGGCTTCTAGGCAATGGTTTGCCAAGTTTTCTACGGCCTTGCTTTCTCTTGGATTTGTGCAATCCAAAGCTGACTATTCTTTATTTACCAGAGGCTCGGGTTCTTCTTTTGTCGCTCTCCTTGTTTACGTTGATGATATCATACTCACCAGAGCTTTTTCTTCTCTTCTTGATGAATTGAGGATAAAGCTTAATCAGTGTTTTCGCTTAAAGGATCTTGGTCTTCTCAAATATTTCTTGGGCATTGAACTATCTCGGTCTTCAAGAGGAATTTTTTTGTCTCAAAGGCATTACACCTTATCTTTGCTAGATGATGTTGGTTTATTAGGATGCAAAGCTGCTTTTGTGTCTTTGGATCCTCTCTTGAAGCTTAGTATCTTTGATTCTAATCCTTTACATGACCATTCTAGAAGCTTCTATATCTCACTATTACGTGGCCGGATATCACTTTTGCTGTCAATCGCTTAAGCCAGTTTATTTCTCGGCCTTGTAAAAGTCATTTAGCATCTGTTTATTCTCTACTACATTATTTGAAAAATGCCCCTGGGTGTGGTATTTTTTTGGCAGCTTCTTCGTTTCAGCTCCGAGCATTTTCGGATGGTGATACTCGATTGCAGCCCCCAAAACCCAATTAAATGCAATCTATCGGCCTCCGAAATTGCGTTCGACTAGTGGTTTTTGTGTCTTCTTGGGAGATTCTTTAATTTCTTGGAAGTCCAAGAAGCAGACCACCATATCTCGTTCTTCTACTGAAGCCGAGTACAGAGCTTTGCCGACCACCACTTGTGAGCTTATTTGGTTATCAAACCTTTTACTTGAGTTGCAGGTGTCCTTTGTTCCTCCAGCTTTGCTATTCTGTGACAATGAAGACGCCATACACATTGCTAATAATCATCGGTTTCACGAACGTACGAAGCACATTGAGTTAGACTGTCATTTTGTTCATGAGAAAGCTATTTCTGGGTTTATTCGTCTCATGCCCGTTCGGTCTCTTCTTCAGTTGGCCGATGCTTTCACTAAACCGCTTGCTGCTGCCTCCTTGCAATTGTTTGTGGTCAAGATGGGCATGATTGACATCTTTCCTCCATCTTTGAGGGGGAGTATTAGATCATATTATTTTTCTGTGTACAATTCTGTTAGTTAGTAGATAGTTGAGATACTTATGAATTGGTTTTGTAACCTCCCATTGCTCAAGATCCGATAGCATGCAGCAACTAGTTGTAAAAGAGAGGGCCATGTCGAAACTGAAATACCGGAGGCGCCATAATACTTCCTGATTTGAAGGGGCCGCTTTGGCTTGTATTTTTTCTCTTATTTAAAGGGAGTTTGTAATTATGCAATTTTTCCCAAATTAGTCTTAATAGAAGTATTTATCTAACATAGATGTATTGTTTAGATTCAACAAGATGTACACACTACCATTTATAGCAATTTGATCTTAGTCCTTTAGAAAAGACAGCGGAATCAGCCTGCGGCAAAAGAAAATGAACAATATCCCAATTTATTTCAAATTGAAATTAGGCACATAACATTCAATTTACAAACAAGCCAATATTTTGTTTAATAAAACATCTTTTCTTTTCTTTTATTATTATTATTATTATATTATTATATATATTTTTTTAGAATATTTAGGTAGTATGCTATTCTTAATGCTCTAGTTTTAGAATACACATACACGCTTTCATAAAAAAAAAAATTTAATTGTCATTAAAACAATAAATTTTATTTGATTTATATTTTTCTTCCTTTGTCCATCGTATTTATAATTATATAAAAACTACAAATCAATTTTTTTCCTGTAAAAAAATGGCATTTTTTTTTATAATTTTACATAATTATCGTTAGTCTTTGATATATCCCGCATTATTTTTATTATAAAATTATTCTCTAAAATAGTTTTTTTAGTACTTCTAACAATCAATGAGGTAGAAATTCGAGCCTAACATTATATAAATTACTTTATATCTTAACCAATTTAGTTGTACATAGTTCTATGTCAAATTTCAAGAAAAAATAGTTGTCGTCCAATTGAATTAATAAATAAATTATTTTTTTTATTTGTATTGCATCAATTTAAAAATTATATCTTTACAAAATAAATTATAGAAAAAATAATTAATAAACTTATTATACGTATTAAAATGAGTGAGATTACAAAACATGAAATAATAATAGAAATAGAAAAATATATATATAAGAAGTATTATAGAATAAAAACAATCGACCAACTAAAATATATTACAATTGCTATAAGTAAAATAAAATAATTAATAACATTTCACCAAAATTAATTTGAAAGGTAAGATATTTCAATTAAAAAACTCCCTACATTGTAGGGTAAAAAAAACAAACTAAACTATAATGTAAATAAATAATCATCTTAAAAATGTTATTTCCATGTTCACGTTTAAATTTAAATTAAAAGTAGTACATTAATTAAATATGTGTAATTATAAAAGTGTTAATTATTTTTTTCTACTACATTATTAAGTGCTAATAATTAATTATATGAAAACTAACTATACATTTTATTCATATAAATACAAATTACAATTAAAAGGTTATATTAGGACATTAAAAACCCTCCTCGGAAGTACAAAACTTGAATCTCATTACCACAACTCTACGCTATTTAAAAATTGATGTTAATTACATCAAAATTAGATTAAAAAACATAACATATAAAATAAAAATATTTAACAACAAATATAGATATATTATTAATAATATATAAAACTAATCTTAATTTTTCAAAAAAATGATTTTACTTAATAATATTTCACTCAAATTATTATCTTTAAATAATTAAAATAAATAAAGTGCTAAAACACTGGTCTATTAAAAAGTAAGGATCCTTGAAAAAAAATTTTAGACCAATTTTGCCCCAATCATTTTTAATGAATTACAAATACATCATTTACTTTTAGACCCTCATATTCGTGGTGTGTTGTCCATTAATTATTAACACATCATTAACCATTTTTTTTAGGAGAAAAGAAGTAAAAGAACTAAAGGAGGTCGTGATTAGACAAGTTAGCCACCTGGATACAGCTATCCCAAAATACACTTTCCCTTTGCTTACACAGAAATTGCTCTTGTATCCACTTTTGAGATAGAGATAATTCCACATAGAGTTTTCAGGCTTTCGATTTCTTCCATAATCCACCAGATTTCTGTTAAGTCTTCGTCTTCATCATGCAAAACCTTACCAAGCTCCTCTGAATCGGTTTCCACTCGAATTGGAAGAGATGGCGCACGCGACAGCATATGACGAAGGCCTTCCAGCACTGCTTGTGCCTCCATTCTCTTCACACCATGGCACGACTCTACCATTTTGCTGCCTGCAGCAACGACTTCGCTCTTCCAATTTCTCAGCACCCATCCCAATCCTCCCTGTTGGTGTGACTCTGACTGAGAAGTATATGTATTAAGCGTCCATGCATGTATTGGGGGAGTAACCCATTTCAGGTTCGTCTCTGGATTCCTTCTGAAATTAATTGAACTGATGGCATCTTTAGTAGTTCACCGTGCTGGATTACCGTTGTGATGTTTGTTGAAATGTTCTGATAAAACTTTGGTGGTCTGTTGAATCAACTCCGTAGAACTAGGGCTTCCGCGCTTAAAGATCACATTGTTTCAGAAATTCCAGATAACCCACGAACAAATCATCGAGCTTTCTAGGTCCGTCGTGCTTGGATTTTCCAAAATCCAGCTTCAACAATCATCGAACGTCCATGTTCCCCTATCAATCAGAAATAACCACAAATTAAAATTCGTTAAAGAACCCATAATTCCTTTGTTACCTTGCAGTCCCAAAAGAGGTGGATTGCTGTCTCTTCGTGGTTCCTGCAAAAAACAAACACCATCAATAACAATTCCTTTTCGAAAAAGATTAGACTTGATAGGAATTAAACTTTTCACAATCCTCCAGCAAGCTATCTTAATTTTAGGAGCAACGGATGTTTTCCAAATCGATTCCAAGCGTTGGACTAGTGCTTAGAGTTAGAAGAATTTGTTTCTTGAACATCGGTCATTTGCATACCCAAATGGTAGGCGCTTCTAACAAAGAAAACCCCTTTTTTATCCACTCCCCATATAACTATATCATCCCTATTGCTTTTAGGAAGAGGGATTTGCAAAACTTGGTCTACTTCCGAAGCCATAAAGCTACTCTGAACCTTCTCCTCATCCCATCTGCCTCTTTTAGCCAACAACCAAGCAACCGGATGATCCCTCACATGATTGGGGGTAAAAACAGGTTTAAAAGGGCCATCCCTTGGAATCCAACCGTTACCCACTCTCCATCGGTACCCTTTCTCAGACAGCTCCCGACCCCAAAGAATACTTCTCCAAGCATAAGATGGATTATAACCCAACTTAGCCTTCAAGAAGGAATCGGTCTTGAAATATTTCCCTTTAAAGATTCTTGCCATGAGGCTATTTGGTTGCTTCATTATCCTCCATCTCTGCTTAGCTAACATTATTAAAGCTCATTCCTCTTTGATCCTTCCGAGTGCATAGTCTTTTCCAACTCTGCCAATGAATTTTATAGTTTTCAGGGGTCGAGCCCCACCAAAACCGAGTATAAATACTGTGGATGTCATGACAAAGCGTGACTGGAAGCTTAAAACAACTAAGGGTATAGTTAAGGATGGCCTGAGCAACCGCCTTAATGAAGACCTCTTTTCCACCCATCGAAAAAACTTTCCTTTCCAGCCCTGAGAGCCTTCCACATTCTTTCTTTCAATGCACTGAAAACTTGGCACCTATTCTTGTTAATCTGCGATGGTAGGTGGAGATACTGTCCCAACTGCATCGTATAAGGGATGTTAAGTTCTCTGTGGATGTGTTCAACCATGTCTTGGCTCGTATTTTTGCTGGCCATAAAAAGGGACTTCTCCAAATTGATAGTTTAACCCAATGCTACCTCATATGATTTGAGCACTCTTTTAATGGTCCCGCAATCTTTCTGAGTGGCATTGAAGAAAACTAAACTGTCATATGCAAAAAATAAATGCAAGAGTGAGGGGCAGTATTTATTAATGTGAAAGCCACAAAAATTATTTACTTCCTCCTCCTACAGGAGAAGTGAGGAAAAACCTTCAGAACATAGCAGAAATAGATAAAGGGATAAAGGGTCTCCCTGAGGAAGTCCTCGCTCTGGCTTGAAATACAGCCCTGGGGCTCTGTTAATGAGAGTCGAGAAATTCACCGATTCCACCCAGCTCATAATCAACTCAATCCATCTGGAACATAACATCATTCTCATCATAACCCCCCTCAAATACCTCCACTCCACTCTATCATACGCTTTACATATCCAGCTTTAAAGCCGCCACCCCAATCTTACCGGTCGATTTGCTTTGGAGAGAGTGAATACATTCAAAGCCAATAATCGCGTTGTCCATGATAAGACACCCTGGGACAAACGTCGACTGAGAAGGGGAAATTACATCACTCAAAACCTGCTTAAGCCTGTTAGCCAGAGTTTTCGATACGATTTTATAAATAAAATTACATAGGCTAATTGGCCTAAAATCTTTCGTATGCTCCGAATTCTTCTTCTTTGGGATAAGAACAATAAAAGTTTTATTCAGCTGATCCACATCCTTGGAGCTATTAAGACCTGCAAGCAAATATCGACAGTTTCCTATCCCACAATGTCCTAGTAATTCTGATAGAAAGAAGCTTGGAACCTGTCTAGACCAGATGCTTTTGACGGAGGCATATCAGCTAAAACCCTTCGAACCTCTTTAGATGTGAATTCCCTCGTAAGTATTTGATTCAGCTTGCTTGAAATCTTCGGAGAAATAGAGTTCAAAACCGACCTCATGTCTTGCTCACTAGGGTGATTTGTCGTGAAAAGCTGCCTAAAGTAGGAGACAACAATATGACCGATCACATTCTCCGATCTACACCAGATTCCCGAGTCATTAAAAAAGCCACCAATTCTGTTGGTTTTCTTCTGCTGACTCGTTCGTATGTGAAACCACTTTTTATTCCTGTCTTCCCAATTTAGTCATTCCTCCCTTGACCTTTACCTCCAATAAATCTCTTCTTCTTCAAAAAGCTTGTTCAACTCGCTCTCTGCCTTCCAAATGTTATGCCGCCAACTGCCATTTCTAGCCAGAGAAAGATCCCGAATTTCAGCTTCTTTCCTAGCTATCGCCCCACGAAGAGAGCCATTAAGCCTTAACCTGTTCCACTTACCAAGTTCGACTAAGCAAGTTTTAAGCTTTCGTTGGAACATTACCATATTCATCTCCCCTCGATTTGACCACATTCTTTCAATGATCTCCTTACATTCGCCCATTTGATACCACGAATTCTCAAACCGGCGCGGTCTACGACCCCTACTTTCCCCTTCTAAACCGTCACCCTCAACAAGCCAAGTAGCAATAATTGTCCTATGATCCGAGGCCAAGAAATTCAGATGATGCACTACTATAGATGTCTGGATTAGAAGCATTTCCACATTTATTAGAAACCTATCCAATCTCTCTCAAATAAGCTGTCTCGCAGAATGCCCATCACACCATGTAAAATCATCTCCAGAATATCCCAGGTCAATTAAACCGATTAAACCGCACGTGTCAATAATATCCATGAAATCCTGCATAAGTTTCTGTCACCTTGGAACTCCCCCTAGTTTCTCCGAATCATAGAGAATCTCGTTGAAATCTCCTCCCAACAACCAACGGAGGGATGAGATACTGTGAAGCCGACCAATTAGCTCCCAAGTCTCCTGCCTTCTATCCTGGGCTGATTGACCATAAATTCCTGTAAAACACTACTTTAAACCATTAATCACTGCATCAATGTGTCCTTGGGAATACAACATGATTTGGACATCCCAGTCATTATTCCAAAACAACATAAGCCCCCCGTTGAGTCCGATGCTCGGGACACGAAAACAACTGTCAAAATTTAGCTCCGCTCTTATTTTCTGTACTTTATGACTTTGGCATCTGGTTTCTATTAGGAATACCATTTCTAAAAATGAGCTATCCCACCTCCAAACCTTCGCGCGCCCAACTTTAGGACTTGGCCCCGAGACTCGCAACATTGCCACGGCAAATAGCTGAACACTCTTCACGCATCAGCTATGGACAATTCCTTACACCAGACACTCTGCCCAACAACACTAGGGAACTTCCGTCCCAACAAACACGTACTCTCTGAGCGGCACATAACAGTGCACCCCTCGGGTTGAGGCTTACAAGCCTACCACGGAATTGACTCTCGTGGCACTAACCCAGGTTAATAAATTTCATTCATCATTTGTATTAATTTAAGATTGGACAACTCCATACATATACAAGAAAACCTTAAAATTAATTATTCAATATAAAAGTATTTATAAAAAAAAATACTTATTTTTAATTTTAATAACTTTAATTAATAAAAATAGGAAAGTTATGAATATGAAAAGTTTTTGGGTGAAAAGTTTTGTTTGTTTATTTCTATAAATTCATGTGTTTTACTTTAGTTGGAACTAATAATGTAATTAAAAAGGTGTTAGAATCTCAAAAGTTTTCCAACTTATTCATTCCCTACATGTATATATATAGAGTTTTCTCGATCTTTTTCTATGACAATTTGACTCTCTCTTAATTTGCTTCGTTTAATTTCTTGATTTCTTCTTCCAAATTTTATAGATTTAGTAGTGTTATATTGCATAGTGGTCTAGAACATTGAGTACCTCAAGTTATAGGAGTTGCAAGAGTAATGTTGTTTATTAATTAAACATGATTGAATCTTACAGTGTAGTTTGGTCTCACACGTCAATCAAAGACGTCTCAAGTGTTGGTGACATATTTAGTTGCAAGGGAAGCACACATGTTGGATCTATATCTCGATTCTTAGACTTGCTCTCAAAGAACTCTTCAATCTTCAAAGACGTCTCAAGATGTTGGTTATATATTCAAGTTGCAAGAGAAGCACTTGCTGGATCTATATCGCGGTTCCTATGCTTGTGATATTACAATTTCACTTTGTAACGAAGTTAATAAAAGTATTGTTCAATCAATTATCAAGGCGAGAATTTATTTAAATGTTATTGGAATTTTTTTTACTATATTGCTTTTTATTTTTCTTTTATAATTAATGTAATGTTTTATTCCAACTATTTGGTGAAAGAATAATACACTTATTGATCATGGTAAGTGAATACCTTAAAAAATTTTTAATAAAATTAATTGTAAATAATAAATTAATCCATTATCAAAATATAATAATTTTGATAACACAAAATGTTGGAATGCAAAGTTTTTCCTATAATTTAAAAAAAAATCATTTAATTATAATTTATGATGGCTAATGTTTTGTAACTTCTATATAAATATAAGTTTTTTTTTTCTGCAATTTTATTCACAAACACTTCAGATCCATTCATTATTATTTCAAATAATTAGTATAATTATAAATATGAAATCAAATTAGTAAAAAAAAAATTTTCTTCCTTGAAGTTGATAATATATAACCAAAATAATAATATGATATTTTTGTTAATAATTAAAATATAAAAATACTTATATATATTTTATTGATATATTAAAAATAATAAAATGCAACCTAAACTTCTGATAATGCAAATGTATATGCACTTAAAGAAATTAAATGAATGGAATGCGAAGAGTTATAAGGTAAAAGTTTTGTATTCATATACATAAATTAGTTATATAATTAAATATTGTATTTTGATGCTTAACTTAATTTTATAATTTTTTATTTAAATTACATTTATTTTGTTATTAATTTTCAATATACATGATTTTTGTGATGTCAATGAAAACACTATTATTGCCCGTGATTTCTAGATAGATGCAACATCGGTTTGATGTGAGTACTAAAAGCCACATGTTAGATACGAAAATCACATACACTGGCTATGATTTTTGGCTCAACTTGTGAAAAACACGTGGGATGCACGTGAAATTTGTAGTTTATTTTAAAATATAAAAAATATTAGAAAATAATAAATCAGTAAAAATTATAATTTAATTAGCTTTTTAAAACTAATTATATAAATAGTGGAAGCTAGAAAGTAGTGAAATCGGTTGTGATGTTAGTGAAAATGATGTCATTGTCCATGATTTCTAAACAGCTGCGGCTTCGATTTGATGTGACTACTAAAAGCCACTTGTTAGAGATGAAACTCACATGCATTGCTATGATTTTGGTTCAACTTGTGAGAAACACATACATTGTACGTGAAATTTTTAGTTTATTTTAAACTATAAAAAGACTTTTAAAATAATAAATTAATAAAAATTATAGTTTAATTAGCTTTTAAAGGTAGAAGGCATTAGTTTTAATATTTTATTATTATTTACATTATCTTTTAGAAATTATTTCACATCATATGGATTAAATTTCAAACCATTTAAATTCAACACATACTATGTCATATAGATGTTAAATTAATTTTTGTGATTTCTTTTATATACAATGTTATATATAATTTTTTATTTTTTTGTTACATTATATATGAAAAATTTCTACTTTTTCGGGAATACACTTAAGAGTGACATTATAATATAATTGATTTAATTGATATTATAATTATAATTTAAAATACACTTCATCCATTATAATATAATTGATATTATAATTATAATTTAAAATCAATTATAAATAATTTAATTAGTAAATATATCATTTACATATTATATATATTATACCATTAAGAGTGACATAAGAAACTGTATTTTTCACTTAAACTTTTACCTCCTACATCTTATACCTACTTTATTTGATTATCCATTGACTAAGATTGAATTGAAAGGATAAAATTATTATATTTTTAACTTTTAGAAAAAAAATTAAATGAACAAATAAAGAATAAAAAGAAAAACAGTAGGAATGAGTTGCTACTTTTTTTTTTAATTTTAACACGGACCAAGAATTAACTCACCATTCATATTCCCGTTGTCTTAATCACTCTCATCCTCTTCGCATCCACCAAATTGCTCCCGTCCACCATCGAACACAACAGCTCCAGCGAGGCGACCCAATCAATTGAGATTCCAACCTACACAATTTTCACCAATTTATTGAATTGATGATGAAGGGGTTCATCCTTGTCGAGGACCATACGATGATGATTTTGTGGAAGATGAAATGGTGGCGAAATTGTTGCACATGTAGTATTCACTAAAAGAATCGTGGCATAATGGACCTTCATCGAAATTGATAGACCACTTTGAGAAGATCTTAGTAGAATACAAATTGGCAATTGAAACGACTCTTATTGAATTGGTAGATGAGGGGCTTTCTCTGGTTGAACTCTATAATCACTAATTCATTTTAGATTTATAAGCCTCGAGAATTATATAGAAAGGAGAAATAGAGGTAGGAAAAACCTTTCAAGTTTCATAATTAATAATTAATACTTAGATGTTAGTCTTTGGGGGAGGGAGAGGAAGAAAAAAGGCTTCAAATTCCATAAGTAAACACTCAATTAAAATAGATGATAAAACTTTTCGTATTCTAACTTTTTAAATGCAAAATTAAGTGAAACTATAATTTTAAAAGATAAAAAAGAAAATAAGAGATAAAGAGATTTATTTGGGTGGATTAATTTGAGTAATGAAATTGGATGAGTGGAGAAAGAATGAGTGAAAAGTGAATATAAGAGAGAACCAATGAATTTGAGAAAAGTGGATTTGTAAAGGGGGAGATAAAATATTTTCTTAAAAAATAATAATAACAACAAGAGAAGAGACAAATAAGGAAGTGGCGTGGGAATGAGAGAGAGGAAGAAAGTAGGAGAAATGACAAATTTACCATACAAAAGTTTGATGGTAAATTTGTCAGGAATGAAGGGCAAAATTGATCTAAAAAATTTCTCCATACTATAGATATAAATATAGATATATATCTTTCCTTTATTATCGGTCACAAAATTCACCTGGTGTAATGGCTCGTTGAAGTATATATAGTAAGGTTGTTCATTCTTTAAATTTTTTTAGTTATATTTCTTTATTATAAAAATATTTTAAATTTTTAAAAAGAAAAGAAAATTATATAATTCGATTTTCACTTAACTCAATTTTAAAATTGGAAATTATTTTTCATAAATATTTCAAATTTTTTAAAAGAAAAAATAATCTAATAGAATTCATGATTATATAATTAATTAAAAATTTTATTTATACAAATATGTCAATTATAAAAATATAAAAAAAAGAAAATACGGTGAAACATCCAAATTATAAATTTTTTAAATAACTTTCTTCTTCGGCTATAGTATATATAAAAGGGACTATAAGAAGAAACTTTATCTCCCTATTTTGCCTTCTAACTTTAAATATTTTCCTTATTATGTTGATGGCAATTTTGTCATTCACTCCCTACTTATTTTTTTATATATAATTTATGTATTAATAAAGGAAGTTATTAAATGTGGCCATGAACGTGCACATCTTATCGACCAACTAAGAAAAGTAACTGTTTGTAATTTTTTTTTAAACAAAATGAACTTTATTAAAGACCATCAAGGATTACGTGTATAGAATAACGTCTATTGGCATCATTAGGAAAACAAGTGGGAAAAAAAATTATCCCTTATATTAACAATCCAGAGAAACTTTTCTGCCACTTGAAAATATTAATAATCCAAGAGGCATATTTTTTTCACGTCAGACAAATTCCCTGAACCAAAACTGTTATAAAATTAGAAAGACAACGGTAAACCATTTATATTCTAATAAATATAATCATCTTGATTGTGATATAATTAATTTTTAAAATGTCCCGTTTCAAAACGAAGAAATTAAAATTAAAAAAAATCAAAGGAAAAGAAAGTTGACTGAATATGGGAGAAGAAGAATCAAAGAAAATCCAAAAAAAACATGTCATTACGTGACTTACTTCAATTTAATCTTTCTCTTTCCATTTTTTTTCAGACGATTTGGATTCCCAAATCTAATGGCTCAACATTTCTATTGGAATTTGTATCCAACATTCTTGCTATAAATCCTGCTCTATCCTCTCCATTCAACGATCACCAAATCCTCAGTTTGCCTCTGTTCCTCTCCTTGCTCTCAAGTGTCCTATTCTATTCTCTCTTTGAATTCGTGTTTTTTTTTTTGGAATTATCACTGTTGAATTTTCTTCTCTCTACTTTCGTTTTTTTGTTCAGGAGAAGATTTGTTGGCAATGAATGGAAAGGTAATCATCATCGAACTGTAGATCAGAGCATGGACAAAATTAGGTTAGGGAAAGAATAATTCGATGAAAACTGGGTTGATTCTTTTTTTTTTCCGATGTGAAATTCGCAGAAGAATTAGTAGGTGTGTCACAAGGTCGTCATTAGCTCAAGGGCGAATATGAACTACTTCGCAGGTGGATTGCAGGATAATGTAGAAAGGATATGCCCCTGATAATTTGATCAACCACACCTATATAACCTATAAATCTCTATTATCATTCCAGATGGAAGAACCAGCACAACTCTGACTTTAGAAACTATGCTTTCATCGTCATCATTAATCCAAGGTAGTCTGCCTTTCCATTTTTAACACCAAATCTCTCTAATTTTGTCTGTTCTTCATTCTTTTTTCAGTTTTTTTTTTTTTTTTGTGGTGGTTCCAATTTTTCAAGTCATCAGAACTACATTTACACTTGAATTATAGATGAGACAATTACCTAACTCAAGAGAAATTTTTTTAAGTGATTTAAGAAGTTTTATCTGAAGTTCTGATTAGGTAAGTGGAAAGAGATAGATATTGAATATTAAAAAACCTTCCCCATCAAAACTATCGGCTTTAGCCTTTCTCTTTTTTTTTTCTTTCTTTCTTTTCAAGCGTGTGTATTTTAAGGATGACTTGCTTCCACCCTGTTAAGATCCTTTTTAGAAAGATTTAAATATTGATTCTTTAGCACTCATCTTTAATATTTTTTTAAAAATATCATTTCTTTGTCAAAAATTTAGTGGTGGTCATCTAAACATTGGTACTGATACGTTTCTAAAGAAGCTATACTAAATAAGAAAATCTATTTATAAATTAGATCAAACGAAAATAATATACATTAGATGTATTTCAAAAGT